ATATCGCCGACCATTACTGAAGCTTTTTCTATTTTTGTTAAAAACGTGTGTCTTTGTGTTCTTTAGATCAGACCCGTGTCAAGATGGATATATTTTTTCTTTATCTGAATTTATAAAAAAAAAAAAGAGATTAGAACATTCTTAGAATTCTGGGGGGTTCATTATTCCCATGTAATGTTGTATACATATTTATTTTTTTTAAATTATCCATTTGTGAAAAGATATGAAAGTTTCATTTATTTTATTCAATATCATGATTTGAATGATACAAAAAAATGAGTTTTGAGACAATAAGATAATTTTTTAAAAGACTTGAGTAGATATTTGAGTTTGTCTATTGGAGTACTCTATACCAAATTAAGCTTTTTATTCAGATTTAGACTTCAATTTGAGTAATGGTTGAAGATACTCTTATAACTCCACAGGTAACTCAAGTAATATAATAAGGATCAACTGTAAACTTAGACATGTTGAGTTTGAATTTTGACAACTTTTGGGACTAGGCCATGAAGGATTTATTTATCACAAATATCCTAGTCCCTCAGTGTAAATGATCTGTCTTTAACCTGACGGAAGAAGAAATTAGTCCAGATATACGTAAGGTCTTTAACCTGACGGAAGAAGAAATTAGTCCAGATATACGTAAGTTGACCTATACCCCCGTTTAACTTAAAAAAAAGAAAGAAGAAGAGCAATGTTGAATCTAATATGGGGATTTGATTTAATGCAACTATTGAATTAGTTGTGAGTTTCAATATTAAATAAAATCCACTTTCAATGTAATGATTACATTGAATTAAATTTTCAAATTAAGTTCAAATAACATTCAACTATTACTGATAAAAATAGAGCGTGAAGTTTGGTGTCCTATCTTTATTGGTAGTTACTAATGGTTAATTACCAGTTTATTGTTAATATTTTATATTTTCATTCATTTAATTACTTATAACTTTCATTTTACTATTTTTAATTATCTATAACTTTTTTGTTTATCTGATTTAACCACATAAATTTATCCGTTGGTGGTACTAGTACCAAAAATTATAATTTTTTAAGATTAAGTTACAACATTTTTTAAGTATTAAGTTACTTCAAAGAGTATGATCGATCATGAAATGTTGAGATTAATACCGTATTTTTTATGATCGATCATGGGTGTCTGTGATTGATCATGACCTCCCTTGAATAGTTGTAATTTCTCATTTTAAGAATTTTTTCCCAAACCCAACCCCCATCAGAACTTAATTCCATAACCCAGTCACTTTTAAACTTAATTCCCAAATTCAGTCTTTTTTTAAAAATGTCATTTAAAATGACGCATTCTTCCCTAAAAACGTCATTTGGAATGAAAATTTGAACATGAATTTTTTTTTTCCTAAAACGTCATTAAGAATGACGTTTTTAAAGTCGTCATTTAAAATGATGTTTTGTAATAAGAATTTTTAACAGAACTTAACAGATGTTTAAAAAAAGAAAGGGGTTAAAAATGTTATTGTATGTTTAATCACGTTTTCTATCCCTTAGCCTTTACATTGATGTTTTCTATTCCTAAGCCTTTTACATTGATATTTTTTACACCTTAACCTTTTACATAGACGTTTTCTTAGGCAAAAGTCTCCAACCACCAACTTGTAATAAATTTCATAAAAGCTAAATAGCCTCACCTTATGTCTCACATCATGATTCACCAGACAATAAAAAAAATTAAATAAATTTTAGAATTTAATTCCCTTTTCATAAAAATTTTGAACTTATTTTATAATCGAAAATAAAATTCATAAAAGCATAATTTAATTTCATATTTTTCAATATAAAAACATATTAGTAAAACATATATTTAATAAAAAAACTTAAAAGCGTGTTTTGAAAGCACACTTCTATACAAAAAATATATTTTGTATATGTTAAAAATCTCAATATTATAATCTCACTTTCTACGTTATAAAAGCATCCCATTCTGGAGAAGTTTTTCCCCAAACCCAATCAGTCCTAAAACTTTATTTCTCATACGTAGTATTTTTTTAAAAACGTCACTTAAAAGCCGTGGTTTTTAAAAATATTTTTTTTATTTTTTTTATATATGTTAAAAAATTATGTATTCCAATTTTATGTTATAAGTTCATCGAACATTTATAGTTGACCTACAAAAGTGTGTTGAACTTCAAAATATGAAAAAAAATACTTATACATTAAAACTAGGGGTGTCAAACGTGTCGGGTTTGTGTTAAAAATTCCTAAATACTAACCTGATACGTTTAATAATCGTATCGAGATGTGGAAATACTAACCTTACTTGGCCAATAAACATGTTATCCGAACTTGACATGTTTGACACGTTTAATAAATAAGTCATTTTCGAGTTAACACATTAACATGTTAACATGTTTAACCCACATATCAAATGCTATCTATTTAACACCTTTAAAAAAAAATCAAAAGATTTTATTGAATAAGATTCAAAGAATTACAAGAAGCAAAAGGAAACCAATTCCTAACATCCATTTCCAATTAAATGACTTTACTCCTTCAAAACATGAAGAAAAAAAAATTATAAATTTCTTCTATGGGCAATAAAAACAATCACTTTCAATGATTGCACAATCATTCAAGCTCTAGATCTGCTCTAGCAAGGCCAGTAGGCAGCTACAAGCAGACTACAAACTTTCAATGCCTGCACAATTAACCCACATATCAGAGTTCTCCTCTCACTCTTTCTTCAGATGGAACTTCAAGCAGGCTACAAGCTGCTGCAACCCATATACTACTTTATTAAACCATATTTTTATTTTTCTCAAATCTAAGTCTAAATAAAAAGAAAAAATAAAAATACAAGACTATTAAGTGTCAATCCTAATATTATAACTAGGACAGTGGTCCCAACTAACCTGACATCTTGTTTCCTCAATTAATGTATCCAAGAAAATCCTTGAAAGTTCCCAGAGCTCAGCTTGGTCACTCAAAACACAAGTTCATAGGATGAAACTTTTCATAAGCCAGTAGAACTTATTACACAATAACAAGGATTAAATGAATATGCCTCATCTTTGGCTAGAATATTCCCCTTGCATCACAACAACCTAGTCATTAGAAAGTCCTTTTGAATGCCAAACTAATGCCAGAAAATCAACTGCTTCTCAACTGCACTGCCTGCTTCAACTGCACTGCTTGTTTATGCTTTTAGAAATTTACATGTAAAATCATGTATTAGAATTTTAATAGCTGAAAAACCTTCAATTGGACTGCATCTCTGATCCTACTGCATCTCAAATACCTCAAATCTGATCCTGCACCTATTTAACCTATTCAACTAAAATGCATTCAAATTTCAACCCAAAAATAAACACAAGAACTATAATAATATACTTCCATTATGTTAAGACCACAAGGTCCACATCAATCATTCATATAATATACAAAATATATTGGCATAATAAAACAAAAGAAGTAGCAAATAAACAAAAGCAATAGCAAGTTATTTTTGAGATTATATTCTAAAAATGACTTGCTATTGACATGCTACATGAAACTAAAACAAAATAAGCAGTTGTTGCTCCTCTAGCAAGGCACGGTGCACACAAAACTTTGACATTTCACAGAAGTGAATTCATTTGTTACCAACACAAATGCCAAAATAAAATATGTAAGCAAAATATATTAGACACATACAAAGCAGTACATTTTTGGTCAAAATACAAAAAAAATACACAAACTTCCAATACAATTTGTAAAGTAAACTATAGAACTTGGGGCATTACGTTGTCCCCAAATTCTCTTTTTTCCTCCTTCTTAATTCTTCCTCTTGTTATCGCGTTAATCACACAAGGGAAAACATAGTTGAACGCAAACTCCACATAGGACATGGAGAGACCTGTCAATCATAGTTGGTCAAAGTGCTCACATAAATGTACCTAGATGGTGCACAACCCAACAAAAAGAAAGATAGAAACTAAGAAGAGAAACTTGAGCATAAAAACGCATCATCAGAAGCGAACAAAATTCGAAGAATTAACTCTTTGCCCAGACTGAAAAATTCTCTTAAAAGCAAACATATAAAATTCCATACACACTAAAGCAATACACCATTAAACTACAACTGCTATGTAAAGTAAATATAACCTTCCGGGAAAAAAAAGAGAGTAAAATATAACCAGAGAAAAAAACTCTACAAAGAAAGCCATGGAAAAAGAGTCTCCAAGTGCTATATAAAGGAATCTGCAGCCTGTGACAATCTTCCTGACACCCACAAAAATACCTTAGTAAGGTTCAACTTAGGCAACAGAGACTCATTTGCCTCAAAATATTCACAATCCTTCTCCTTCAAACACATAATAATAAAGAGACAACATCTCAAAGATCCTACCTACCAAGCCTAAACCAAACCCATATCTAATCTGAAACCATGTGGCATACATAGAAGGAAAAGAGAAGATCTTAAAACTCTGTCACCCAGATCTTAAAGCTCTTCCCAACAATATCCTCTATTGGACTTCAAGCAGCTCCACTCCAAAACCCTAATTCCACTTCTATCTAACCCAAACCAGAATACCACCCAAATACCCTACCCCACTTTAAAACTTCCATCATAAAACCTAAAAGGAAACCCCAACAAGAAAAGAAAACCACTTAATGACTCTGTGACCACAAAATATATTCATAAGTACAAAGAAAAAAAAAACAATCACCAAAGGTCACCACCATAAAAATTACCAACCAAAAAAAATCACCATCTAGCAATAGAAAATACACACGAACCACCAAAACTCAACAAAACTTCCTATAAAGATCACTGATCTATTACGTATTACATACAAATCCTAAATTCACCTTCTTGATATCTGTTCAGAAAACACCCATGAACACAGATCCATGAGCATCGCCTAAACCCATAAGGTCATTTAACAAATGAACTACACCCCAAACTTCTGATCATCCCAAAATAATCACACAAGACTTAGAACCCTAACATATGAGGTTGCAATATATCAGATCACCTAGAATAGATCAGGCGACAGAGCAAATCCTTTGGGCAAAAAATGGAGAATGGAGAATGTGCTCACTGCTCAGTCTGTGGTGGAGCCTATGCACATTGGGGGAGGCTGTGGTTGCTGGTGGAGGATGTGCTCGTCGCTGGTGGAGGATATGGTCGCTGGTGGACGGTCCTCCGATGGTCTTCCTCGTCGGAGAGTGGCTGAGGGGGAGGAGAGCGTTGAAGGAGGAGGAAAGAGCTGAGTGGTTATGTTTGAATATTTTTGACCTAACCTGTGTGATCTGTGAAATTTAAGTGGTGTGACCCAACGTTCAAATCGTCATTGCAAGTGACATTTTTAACATTTTTATTTTTTTAAACGTCTGTTAGGCTCCGTTAAAAATTCTTGTTACAAAACGTCATTTTAAATGACGACTTTAAAAACTTCATTCTTAATGACGTTTTAGGAAAAAAAATTCATGTTCAAATCGTCATTCCAAATGACGTTTTTATGGGAGAAGGCGTCATTTCAAATGACGTTTTTAAAAAAAGACTGAGTTTAGGAATTAAGTTTAAAAGTGACTGAGTTATGAAATTAAGTTCTGAGGGTGACTGAGTTTGGGGAAAAGCTCCTCCTTTTAAGGATCTAACTTTATCATACAAAATAATAATCGACAGTACTAATACCGAAAAAAAAAAAATTCGGTACCGTAGAGTTTTCCTTTTGTAATAATTCATATACTGTTCATATTTGTCTCATGTTCACATTAATTATCCAGGAGTTCCACATGATTTTCTCTTCTCTTAAACAAATCCATTGCATTTAGATCCACCATAAATTAAAAATCTATTTGATCTATATCCTAGTCAACAAATCAAAAAACTACAAAGGTTGAAAATGATATGTATGAAACAAGATCAATAAATTAAACCAAATATTTTCATAATACCAAGTAAACGAGTTCGTGACTGTTAAAAATACTTATTTGAATTAGATACTAATATATCTAATTTATTGTCCGGTTGTGATAATGTATCTCTGAATAATCTCTTTTTCATTTCTACCATTCGTTTCCATTATGATTAGAAAGTGACAAATCAAAATTTTCATTTTAAATTCTCAAAATCTTGTTAAAAGGTCAAAAATGAATAGGTATAGACTAAGGTAGGAAGTCTTTTTGTAATTATTAAGTGTTGCAGAAACAACAATCTCTGGGCATTCGGGGTCAAGGGCTGCTATTATGATGTAGCTAGGATGAGGGTAAAAATCAGTTCCTGAATTATGAACTTTCTTAGACATTTCCTAATTTTATTTTTTGCAAAAATCATTATTTTTTTTTTGCACAATCTCTTATACTAGACAACGTTATTAATCGACACCTACCGCTTTCTTATTTTTGCTTGTTCACTTTAATTTTAAATTATATAATTAAATAAAAAATTATTATTTAAAATATAAAAATTATATAATTAATGTTTGATTTTTAGTATTAAGAGTATCTTCATATACATAATAATTGCTAGTTAATCTTAAAGAAACAAAGCCTAGCCGTGTCAACCAGAATTCATGAGAGCTAGAGTTTTTGAATTATTTGTTAGAATATTTTAATTAAAAGAGTGTTTTTTATGTGTAAAAATTCAATCTCACATCAACTAAATATCTAAAGGTACTTGAGTATATATACATATACTAATGTTATCTAGCCTTTAAATTAAAAAGAGATCTTGAGACTCTCACGTGCGCAGGGGTGCGATTAACGGAAGAGATACGAGTTTTTAAACTGCTTCATTCGATGTAGCATCATTAGATTACAAATTGATACTACAAATTAGAAAATTAAACTCAAAAATAATTTGCATAAATTACACTTTCACCTCGTTCACTATGTTCTCTGATTTACATTGCCCTTCTAACTATCATTTACCACAATGTACCTTGAATTATTGTTATTTGTTTTAAATTATCACACCAACTATTATAGTTCTTAAATTGTGCCTCCAACCATAGTTATTAGTTTCGCATCACCCATTTTAGACACTAGATACATGTATGCTATAGTGTAAAGGAAAGACCGAAAAATGTACATAAGAGAATGTAAAAGAAAGACTGAAAATGTAACGTTAGTGTCTATTTTCCCTTATAATATATTTTTTCAATTTCTTTATCATTTTTTATAAATTTAAGTCAAACCAATTATATAAATCGATAAGAATATATTGAGTGAATCCAAATCTTGTAACTCCATACTATATATTGATGCTATAGGTCAACCGCTCCTAACCATAGTGAAACTTTAATTGTGGAACCCATTTGATCGACCAGCCAACCCCCCTGCCCTCCCCCTTTTTTTTCATTTGATTTCTTTTTTGTGCGGATTCAGAGTTTTTTTACTATCATCTCTCTCGATTTTCGTCGATGATAAAACCATCATTATGTATTGATAATGTGTGATCCATGAGGGAAAATGTATTCCTCTTGTAGATAAGTTTGGTTGATATATAGTAACTAATGACAATCAATAAACAAGAGTGCAAGCATAATTAAAATAAATATGAAACTTACTTTTCATTTTGTTGTAATGGCTAGTACCTAAGCTACCTCCCTACAACACCTCTACCCACCTCTACCTATTGTCATACCAAACCCAATCACACCATGTTAGTTATATTTAGGTGTCATGTATTATTTATAGGCAACCACACTACTTATATGGCTTAAGTGGGGGTATATATATATATACATACATAAACTACATGTCCAATTATAGTTAGTTGAACATTGGATGTTGCAGCCCAGCAAATCTTGAGTTATTCAAATCTCATGTAGGATTCTCAATACCCCCCCTCCCCTAGCCTCCCTCTGGCTGAGTCAAACTATGGAACATTAGCCGGAATATATTGGCCAAAAAACTGGGATAAACTTTTTTTTTTTTGGGTAAATTTCACTGACACCCCCTCAAAGTTGGCCTAATTGCTGAGACACCTACTATGGTATGTGAAATGTCATTGTAAACCCCCGTTATAATTAACCCCTTATTGTTTTCAAATTACTCTACACACTCCCCAATTTAGTTTAATCAAATTAATATCAAATTAAGCTTAAATTTCATCAAATTGACATTTAATATCATTAATTCAAATATTAATTTAATCACACTAACATTAATGTAATCAATTTAATACTAAATTAATATTTAATTTCATCAAATTAATATTTAATTTATTTAATTTAGTTTCATTAAATTCACATTTTAATTTCATCAAATTGACATTTAATTTTATTAATTCAAATATTAATTTCATCACAAAAGTTTTTTATTTGTTGGCTATATTTTTTTTGAACAAAATTTGTTGGCTATACTTTCTGGAAAATATATATGCATTCGATCACCCTGTGCCCTATTAACAAACTAGGTACTCCCCTCCGAAAGATTTCACAGGGCCATTGACTAGGTTAGTTGATAAACTCATGCAGAAAATTTTTAAAATATCTAATTGTTTGGACGAATAATAAATCCACTACACTAATAATTCTCGAATAACATTTTCCCAAAAGACATAACCAAAAAGAGAATATAACCCACGAATAATAAGGCTCCTAGGGCTTGTTTGGTTTGCGTTTCAAAAATTAGTATCTGAATAAAGTTTTTGAGAAGAGTTTTAAGAAAGTGATTTTGATATTTTTTGAGATAAAAAATTTGTTTAGTTAGATGATTTCAAAAATAATTTTATAATACAAAAAATAATAAAACATGTTTGGACAGTTTAAATATATATTTGAACAGTAATTCAAACATTAATAAAAAAATATAATTTTTTTTATATTGACAATTTCATAATATATATATATATATATATATATATATACATATTATAATAATATATAATATCATATAATATTAATATATAATATATATATTATATATTATGAGAGAGAGGAAGAAGTAAAAAAAAAAAAAAAGGAATGAAGAAATTTGCTGCTAAGGAGGCTCGAAGGGCAGATCTCATTAAAGTCTAAAATTGTTCTCCTTATTTTCAAAATTTTCAAAGAATACTCTAAAAACAAGTGAAACTTGTTTTCTATTTTTTTGACTAAAATCTCATTTTTTCTCAAAATTTTGAGAATAAAATTGCTAAACAAATAAATTTTAGGTGTTTTTGAAATTTTGAGAACAAAAAACAGTTTCCGGAAAACTAACCAAACATGGCCTAGATTTCCCATAGGAGGAAAAAAAGGGTAAAAACGCAAAAGAAAGGAGGATGAAGTTAAAAAAAATGAAAGAAAAAATATAAAATCTAAAGTATCGAAAAAGGTTTACACAAATGAATAAAATACAAGGAAATTTGGAGGTTGGTCCCCCTATATGGACTTGTTTGGACTTAAGTCCATCAAAGAAACTTATTTGTTATGAAGTCCGTTTTTTATCAATTTTATCATATTATCCATTCCCTTTAGAAGTGAAATAAAACGAAAAATTGAAAACTCTTAAATCTGAATAGTTTGACTAACATTAAAATCTTTTTTCTCTCATATATATAGTAACATTAAAAATAAAAAACAATAACATTCAAATACAAAAAAAAGTTATTATTTGGACACAAAAAATAATACATTTAAACACAAAAAATAATAACATTTAAACATAAAAAAAATTGAAACATTCAATATTAATATTTTTTAAAAATAACAATAGTAGCATGTTCAACAAAAATATTAACATGTTCAACAAAAATAGTAACATGCTTAACAAAAACTGTAACCTATTTATTTAACAATAACTATTTCTCTCAAATTCAAACGCAAAAAATAGTACAATTAAAATACAAAAAATAGTAATATTCAAAAAAAAAAAATAAATAGTAACATTGAATATTAATATTTAAGAAAATAACAGTAGTAACATGGTTAACAAAAATAGTAACATACTCAAAAATAATAGTACATGAACAGTAACATACTCAACAGAAGCAGTAATATGAATAGTAACATAATAAAAAAAATTATAACATGAATTTAAATTTTACTATTCAAATTTATAGTAATTTTTTTTTGTATCTGAATGTTATTTTTTTTTTAATGTTACTATATATGTACTTACCCTATATATGAATATAGATAGATAAGAGAGAAGGAAAATTTTAATGTTAGTCAAATTCTTAACCTATATATAGATATAGATAGGTATGAGAGAGAAAAAATTAACTTCTTTTCAAAAAAATGTATTTTGAGATAAAAAAAAAAAAAAAGTGGACTTAAGTCATTACATATAATTTTAAACATGGACTTAACCCCTTATAAATTTTCTTACAGGACTTATCTATAAACAAGTAAATTTTGGAAACTCACTTCCAATTTTCACAATTCATTCTACTATCATGAAACAAACAAAACCTATTGCTCTGAAACAGCTAAAACAGAAAAATTGACATACCTCGTGATAATGAAATTAAATATCAATTCATTAATAAAATTGAAGAATTAACTTGAGTGTAAAATTGGTAGTTCACTGCAGTATATTCCATGACATCATTGATTCTGTTAGATGTTAATAACGACAATGACCGTAGGGATGTTATGTGAAACTCATGATAAACTACAAGGGTTTACAGTTTTATTTCAGAAATTGTAGAGGGTATCCCTATAATTAAGTTAATCTTGAGGGAGAGTAGTGAAATTTACCTTTTTTTTTTGTTTTAATGATTAGGGGTATTTTGGCCAGATTACACACATTTCAATTAATCTCCTCATGGGTCTAGTCTCAAGAAATTGTCAAATTCAAATTCAGAACCTCTAAATTTATAATTCTTTTTTTTACCACTTAAGTCCCTTGAGATTGAGTTCATATACTACTTATTTATGATGATTTGAAGAATTATGTAGGAGCACTGATATTTTCAAAAATCGCCATATTTATTTCAAGAAATATTTTTTTGGAAAAAAAAGGTAATTGATATTTAGCCACTTCTTTCCTAGACTCCTAGCCGAGCCACAAGTCTTATTAATAAAGAATTAAATTCAAATAAGCTAAAATTTTGGAAGTAATGCCTTTTGTATAATTTTGACGTTAAGTTATTTTAATTTTTAACCTTCTCTCTCTCTCTCTCTCTCTCTAGAAAAGGAATGTGTACGAAACGAACCATTCCTTATAAAAGTCAAGATGTTGAAACTCCCTCCAAAAGCACAAATTATTTAATTAATTAAATTATTTCATTTTCAAAAAAATAAATTTTATGTTTTCTTGCAGTTGCAGACTCGCATCGCTTTAAAAGTCTTCGACGCCTACCAGCCCCTTCACCACTCTCTCTCTCTCTCTCTCTCTCTCTAGAATTCTTTGTTTGTCTGAAGAGAAATGCCACAGGTTGATCTAGAAACACTAGTTTCGGTCTACGGGGGCGGCAATAGCGACAGCAAAATTACCTGCGAGACCCTCGCCGACTCTTCCGATAACTTGCCGGAATATCAAGAAGTTCCCGACGCCGTCGCCGACGTCCCTCCTGATTTCCCACCAGAATCGTTCTGGCTCTCCAAAGACGCCGAATTCGATTGGTTCGATAGAAATGCTTTCTACGAGCGCAAGGAGTCCACAAAAGGAAACTCCAATTCGACGAACTTGAATCCTAATGTGCATCCGGGGTCGAATTCGAATTCTCAGAGATTTTCGTTGAATTTGAAGTCGAAGGCTTCCATTATCGGATTGCCGAAAACTCAAAAGGCCAGTTATGTGGACGTCAAGAGAAGAAACTGTAAACCGCCGAATATTAAACTGTTTCCGAAACGGTCTGAGTCGCTTGGCAAATCGGCTGCTACCGAACCGTCGTCGCCGAAGGTTTCGTGCATGGGAAGAGTAAGATCAAAGAGAGGTCGCCGGAGATCATCAGGATCGGTGAAAAAGAAAGAAAAAGCGGTTGAAAAATCAAGGATCGGTGAGGATAAACGGAAAACCGGCTTTTACTCTCGTTTGATTGCAATGTTCAAGGCCGGAAAACATAGAAAAACAGCGGTCCGAACCGGCTTTGAAAGGAAGGAGCAAACGATGGAATCGCCAGCGAGGAAGAGTTTGACTGTGAAACACAGGGATAATAGCGTAAGTGCTGAACCGGTAGCTGAGCCGCCCGGTTTGGGTGGGATGATGCGGTTCGCGTCCGGTCGGAGGTCCGAATCGTGGAGTGTTGAGGAAGTTGACGTGGCAAATACCGATTCGTTGGATTTGGAGCGGCGTGTGGGGAATAGAACAAGTGGGCCCACCGGAAGAAGTTGATTGCGGTCGTCACACGGCGAGCTTTGGTCTATTGATTGTTTTACCAGGTATTACGCCTTAAAAACATTGGGGGTTCGATTTGTGAGACTTTTTTTAATTGGGTTGTAAATGTAAATACGAGTGTTTTTGCGGTAAAGATGTGTAAATTTTTTATCGTTTTCATTTACAAATAAAAACAATTGTGCTTCGTGTTAATTTTATTTCTTTAGTCCTTATGTTTATCTATTTATGTTAATGTTAATATTCTTTCTAACTAAATACCTAAAATCCCTTATAATACAATAATGGTAATTTATTCTTTTATTACCAAATATTATCTTGAATTTAGATTATTGCAAATTAGCTTTTAGGGCAATTTTATGACTAATACCTATAAAGTGTGTACCTAGTTTTGTATTTGATTGTTGAAGATCTAAAATTTAACAATGAAACACTTAAAATTTTAATTGAATTATAATTCAATTTTTCCATCAAAATCTATTAATTTGTTCCGAGAGAAGTATTTCACATTATTTGGCCAGATGGGTATATTGTTTGAAAGATTTTTTGTTGGACAAATATTTTTGATTTTATTTCAATAGATGACATAATATAACATGAATTTTAATTATATAATTTAAAATATTTGATATTTTATTTTTGATTAGAGCATTTTTTGTTTAAATATAACATTTTAAACTTAAAGAGTCTAAATTTTATACGTATATAAATTTCAGGGAGTCTGGTTATAATTTACTAACAGATATTCTAACGGATATTAATGACAGGGATTTAAGTATTACACGCGTATAAACCTCAAGAATCTGTGTATAATATTTTAAATATAAAGGGTCTAAGTAATTAAGTAACAAATCTCAAAAGATCTATAATTCTCCCATAAAAAAATATAACTCACTTTTATGGTCGATGGAGTAGCTATTATATTATATAAACGAATATAATTATGTAATTGTGTGGAATTAACTTAACTATTTATTATCTTATTACCAGATGTTACATAATGGCAGTGTGATAACATGATTTCTATCTACGTAATAAATATCAAACAATTTATATTTTTATTCCTTACATATTTTTTTCCTTAAAAAATCACATCATTCATTTCTACTATATGTTCAATATTTTAATATTTAATTAATTTGTAATTTAACATAGTTTTTATTGTAGACATTGTCCATATATGATAGTGTACACATGTTAAGAAAATTTTATTGAATTACGTATTTTAAAAAAAAAATTGATTTTTTAAAGAAAATAATGAGTAAAAATTAATTTTAAATGATGTAATAAAAAAAGGAAGGAAAGAAAATTTTTTATATAATATAAGAGAAAATTTTATCCATATCCCCTGTAATTAGGTTTAAATTCAGTGACACCCTTTTTAGATTCTGAAATACACACATATATATATTAAAAGTATTTAAAAAATTTTTAAAAAATATTTGTGGGTCGGGTAAAGTAAGAATACAAAAATTTTGTGAATATTTTACATTTCTAGTCGATTTTTCACAAAATATCAAAAAAATTTCAATTAGCATCCCCGATATTTTGCGGAAACCGATTAGGAGGATCGCATAAGGCCAAAATATGGAGATAAACAAAAATTTGAACACCCTAGATGGGTTAACTGTTTTTGTTGTATCTCCCTTAATAATTTTCTTGTTGAAGATGGACAACCCTAGTTGGAAACTGGAAGTGTCAAACACGTCTAATTCTCGTGCTATTCTCGTCTTTGTTCTTTTGGAGGATATACTTTCCTTGACTGACACTAAATAAAACACAATAAATTCAATAATACATAAATAATTATAATAAAATATAACAAAAAGCTCATAAATATTATTAATACATCATAATTATTACACAAATACAATAACAATTATTTCAAGTCTAAACCATATCAAGCATGCGTGCACACACACACACACACACACATATATATATTAAAAAAATTTTAAAAAATATGTGCGGATCAAATAGACTAAGAATACGAAAATTTTATAGGTATTTCGTATTCTTATCCGATATTTTGCGAAAACCAATTAGTAGGATTGCATAAGGCCGAAATATGCAAGACCCCTAGATGGGTTAATTTTTGAGTAATACTATTGAGATCTAAAAATCTGACCTAATTTTCTGACTTAATTCACTGTGACATTTGAATTGACTGTGAGTTCCGTCAAACATTAAAACTTGATATTGATCTAATGATTCTTATTAAGCCCCATCATTATGTCAATAAATTAAATCAAATATTTAAGTTCAAATAATATTACTCTTAATTTTTTTTTGGTTGTATCTCCTTTAATAATTTTCTTGTTGAAATCGGACAACCTCAGTTGGAACTGGAAGTGTCAAACACGTCTGTGAATTCTGGTGCTAGTCGTCTTTGTTCTTTGCGCTTTTGGGGGATACTTTCCTTGACTGGTTCTGAAGTTTTTAATATTATAAATTCATATTCTTTGGACTGATGATTACAATCCAAGGACGGACAACCATTCGCAAACTATAAATATATGGGAGGAAATTTTTTATCTACGCTCCCTCTAGATAGACATATTTTTAATGAGACCTCTTATATTTTTAAAAAAATTTTACATATGAAAATTCGGGCCTGTTAAAATTTGATTTGGGTTAATTAAAATTTATTTTTTATGTATTTAAATTCTAGTCAATTAAAAATTATATTTTTTGATGTATTAAAATTTAAGCTGATTAAATAATATTTTCAGTTTGGCTCTAATGAAATTTAAATCAACTTGCATTGAATTTTAATCGGCTCGAATTTTGATACATAAAAAATATAAATTTTAATCAACTCAAATTTTAACACACAAAAAATAAATTTTAATTAATTTGAATCAAATTTTAATTAATTGGCTCTAATTTTATGTAGAAAGATTATTGAGTGTTTATGTAATGATATTTTTGGTATTTTAGATGATTTTTTTTTTGTTAGAAATGGTGATTTAATGACAAAGGATGTCAGTAATTTTTAAATATAAATTAGAAGGAGAGTCAACGATGTTTTTGATAATAGAGAATGTATCCTTAAAAATTTAGTAAACTAAAAAGGACGTGATTGGAATTTTTCTTAGTAATAAATTCAAATATATACTTACTCTTTTTTTTTTTAATTTTTTTTATTTTGTGTGTGTATCTGTACACGGGTAACGTGACGAGTATACATGACCCTAGTGGCCTCCATAATGCTAATTGGTGTGTGGGTTTTATGCTTATTAATGCTATTAGCTGATCAAAATTTTTTTTTTTCCCTATTTTCATTCATTCTTTGTTTGCTTATTTTATTTTATTTTATTTTATTTGCTCACCAAGATTGACTCTTTAGGTTTTGATGCCTTTTGTGAGAGGTGGTATTTGAAAATGCCCTCTGTCTTTACCAACCAAATTATAAGTCTCATCTGAAAATAACTTTCCTCACCTGCTCCAAAAACTGCATGGCACCAACCATTCTCTCCCAAATCCTATTCAAACAACAAACCCTAGACTTCTTGCTTAGATTAAAATGTAAATATCAATGTACTCTTTACCAATGCTTTTTTAAAAATACTTTTATTATTATTTTTATTTTTTTAAGTCGAGGTTAATTTTGCATTTTTTAAAAAAAAAATTCTTGTCAGGTCTTACTCACTTCTCCTAACCATGTAGCTACATAAGTATGTGCAAATAATTATTCAATATACTTTTTTTTTTTATAATTTGATAAAAAAAGATTTTAAAAAGCACATAAATAATATCCCGGTTCTAAAATTGCCTATTTGTCGCCAAATCTTTTTTTATTAGCATCAAATGTTTAACTGTTGGCTGAAGTCTGTATCTCCCATCTATACTTTCATGTATTGACCAGTTGAAAGGGAGACATACTCTGTCCCCGATACTTGGGTCTTTGAATTTTTTTTTTAAATATTCAATGTAACTATCACATAAACAAAGTGTTATGTGGTGTAAACATTTAATAAGAAAGTCAAAAATTGGATAAAGTGGATTTCATTACGGTACATAGAGGTAGAGTTATATATTAAATGAATGAGTTGTTATTTAATTTTTTGGGACATACTTACTCACTCGTACATTTGTTAACGAATAATTACATCATGTGACATTAATGACATGATGTAACTATTACCGGTTGAAAGGTAGACATACTCCATCGAGATACTTGTGTCTTTGAATATTTTCTCAGTCGGAGTAAATATTTAATGTAATAGTTATACAACGTTAGCATATTGTAGCGTGGTGTAACCGTTACCATTAATATTTACTCATTTCGGGGGAGGGGGGGGGAGTAATAAGTTTACTATGATGTCGTGTTCCAAGTAAAGGAAAAGATAACTCTGTGAGGGTTGTTTGGCAAGGGAGTATGGGAGGCTTGGCGAGATTGGTTTGGAAAAATAGTCGAAAGGATAGATTAAAATTTAATCTCAGGTTCCAAAACCCCGCCCATAGCTTGCTCATTGATTAAACTCATGATCATAGATTTTGTCAAACCTAGGGGGAGGTGGGTTTGGGAAGTTGGGTTAAAGGGTTAAGGTTACAAAGACAATTGTATCCCTTAACATGAATATGAATTAAATTGATCAAGAGTAAAATAGTCATTTACAGTATAAATAATTGTTAATAATTATGATATATCTATGAATCCTACATGTATATGTATTGCATACCAAATATGGAAATGGACCGGCTTGAATATTGAATCTCATCTTTATAAAAAAAAATTTGAGTTTAAAAGAGTTTGAGAAAGTCAATTCAAACCCTCCTAAAAAATTCAGCCAAACAAGTCCTGAGAGATGACATTCGGTCAGTATAATATGCGCTAGGGGTGTCATGTCATGCTATTTTTATGTCAGTGTCATTTTTGATTATATTATTTTTGTGGGGATTACTTTTAATATGTGTGGCATTTGTGTCAATAAAAAATTATTTAATTTCACAACAATTCATATAATTATTTAAAAAATTAAAAAATTAAAAAATTCTTATTTGTTGTCTATACTAATTGTTAAATATTTATTTTTTTATATATAGTACCCTTTAATGGTGTTATTCGTGTCGAATTTTAATTTGATCTATTTATTACTCGTGTCAACTAATCATATTATTTTCGAGTTTTATGCCAGGTCGAGTTCATGTTAAGGGATAAAAATTGACACCCTAATG